GAAGGGCAGTACAAATATGCGAGAAATATTCCATAGAGAGTTGAAACAACAGATATTCATGACAGGAACACACCATATGATCGAGTTCTCGTCCCATGTCAGTGTTCAAGAGACTCTGGTAACCCTCACGGCCGCCCCAAAACACGTAATTTTCACCACCTAAATAATGTGTGACCTGAAGAATGCATAGATATAGAACAATATATACCTCTCCTGTAGTAAATAACATAGTAACAGCAAACAAGCACTTTCAGATCAAAAAAAAAAAAAGGAGTAACAGCAAATAAAAATGCATTCTCACTCTACGCTAGATGGACACACCCACCTCCATAGCTTTCTTAACTTGTGCAGCAGCATATGCATATACGCCTAATTCAGAACTGTACAATATTCAAAGAATAAGTCCATGAATGAGTCAAGAAATTAACAAAGTACTGCAATGATATTATTTACCTAGTGGCACCACCATGCATGTAGCGAGGATGCAAAAACAGCTGAGCCGTACCCCACAAAGGGCGGATTTTTGAACCCTGTACAGTCAAGATTGAGGCATTGAATGAGCAAAAGGTGGATTTCTTGGCAAATACATGGCCAAAAAAAAAAGTTCTGGTGTATGATATGGATAGAAACAATGATGTTTAGATGCAAAATCCCAGATAATAAGAATGTAAATCTAGTTGGTAATAAAGGACAAAGATAACGTGCAACGGGCATAGGGAACTGAGGTTCTTGTTCGTTTTTATAAAATTAAGTGGTAAAGAGAAATGGTCAAAGTGGTCATCACACCACAGCTTAGATGCCATCATGTAGAATTACAAGTCACCTGTTGAAGATTAAAAAACAGCTCTTTCTTTACAATAAATTATCTTAATTAAAATAAGTTATCATTGATTATTAAGAGACTTGAGTGGGTATGCAAGATTTTGAGATGTGTAGATTTTGTATCATAAGACCTCGGGGGAAAAAAAAAGAATAAACGTTAAAACTCTAATTTTCAGAAAACGAAAATTAATATGAAATACGATAAATCTCATTTTACAGATATTTTCATATGCGTAAACGATTTCTGAATAACAAATCCACAGATTACTAAGAGGAATAACTTTCTGAAGTCATCAAGGTAGGTGAACCTACTACTTGGATGGATTGTACTGTAAAAAATGATGGTATTATACATGCAATTCCATAGGAGAACTATGTCTTGGTTTATCCAGGTGAAATTACCTGAAGCTCCTTAGCAAATTCCACCACTTCATCCAAATTGGCATTTGTTTCCTGTAAGCAAAAACAATACAGAATGACTTGTTTCTGAGAGCTTATGAACAATATAAGAACATGCAAGCAGAACCACTAAAATTAAAGTCTCTCGTAAGTTTTTTACACTCAGTAAGTTGAATTATCATACAGACAGTTGACAAATAAAAGGAGCCTAAAAGTAAACTTTACCTCCAGGGTTTGGCCATCGGGAGCTATATCTCGGTCATGGAAACACCACCAATCAACCCCAAGCTTGTCAATGAACTCGAAGTTCGCTCTCACTGCATTGCACAGTTTAACAGTATCTCTTCTCACTTCAGATTCTACACTTTTTATTACTACTAAATGCACAAAATTGTGATGGTGAAAACAAAATAAATCCAGTAATAGAGGTAATTAGTTTACTTCTTCTCTTTGCCATAGCCACTGAATTCGTTCCATCCTCCCAAGGCCAATTCTTTGTAGGTGCACCGAATGGATCAGCTCCAGTCCCGCGGAATGTGTGCCAGAACGCTACACTGAATCTAAACCAATCCTGTAAACATTCTCAAACGTGTAAGAACTTGCTAATATCTGAGTGAAACCAAAACCTACTAAAGAATAGAACTAACAGAGAGGAATACCAACCTTCATTTTCTTGCCTAGTATCACCTCTTCTGCATTATACCATTTAAATGCGAGCGGGTTTTTGCTAGAAGGGCCCTGAAATTAGGATCATAGATTCATAGGTTTAGGAGATGTTTTAAACTACCATAATGTGCAAAATTTAGCACAGCAAAGAAAAAAAAAAGTTGTGAATTTTGATCACATAAAACCAATAAAATTCAGCACAACTCAAACCATAATAATCAATAATCAGCTTCCATAGCTTGTATCATAAATTAACCGAGGTCTCATAAATTAACATCTTTACCAAGCTTATTGTTTTTTAAGTTTTGAGACAAAATTAGCCAAAGATGTCCATACCTCATACTTGATTTTAGGTATGCCAGGGAAAAATTCCCCTTTCCATTCATCAGAATCACCACAGTCGCTTTCAAGATTAGCGGGGCACGTCGGCGGACCGCCATTCTGCACTCGAAAAATAAGGAAAGGAATCAGCAGAAAAGAGAAAATTTGATTAAAACAGTCTTAAAACTCAGAAACATTTTATAGAATCAAGTAAAGTAATATTTATTTTTTACCACTCCAAAGGCGACTATATTCAAACATAGGACAAGCAATAATATCTCCACAGGCTTCATTTTCATAGTCCCTGGAAAATATGCAATCAATTTATCAAATAAACTCCCTCAGAAAAAAAACAAAATAAAAATTCAAATAATCATAACCATGAGAACAGTGAATGTTCATTTTTTTTTTTCCTAAAGAGCTCTAAGGCTCGAGGGATGCTTTGAAGAGTTAGGAAAGCAGCCTATTTATAGGCCTTGGAGTGCATATGAGTCCAACGCATGGATGCTGTAGAGTCATGGAGCAAGCGCACTTCTTTTTCTTCCTCCGAAATCACCATGAGAATCCAATATTTTGGACTTAATCCAGTGCGGCAAGGACTACGTGAAACTGGATTTCTATTGGCCATCAGAAATCAACAAACATTTCAAATTGATCCGGACCATTGACTTAATAAGCATGATACGTGACGCAACTGGATTGGTAGGAGAAAGCAAACTCAAATGGGAACAAACACGAGAAAGATGCTTTCCAACATGTGAGGCCCGCTGATGTTTCTTTGTCTGCTCACTCTCTTCTCCCAAAGAATGTAATGCACTCTCCAATCCTAACCATCTAAGTGCTTCGATCTAACGGATGTGATTCAAGCTAAAAATAAAATAAAAATTATTATATTTATATTATATAAAAACCTAATATAATATAATATATATAATTTATTTATAATAATATTATATTGTTATATACACACACATATATATACTATATTATATAAATATTTTTTTATACAAATTAAAATAAAATAAAAATACATAAAAAAATAAAAATCTAATAAAACCAAAATAAAACATAATACATAAAAAAAACTCAAATAAATTAAAATCTCGAGAATTAAGCCGATTTTTTCACAAAATTAAGTAACCTAACTCTATTTGGTAGAGTTATCAACAAGAAATTTGCATTATGAAAATCGTAGCTTATTATTACGGTTATCTTTGTTTCACTAGTATATGCGCTACACAAATATTGTTGATGTTGCAAGTTATTTGACAAAAGATGCAAGTAATTGAACATTAATAAACAAACCGATTAGTCTTGTTGACTTAAAGAATTTAGAGTTAAAAACAAAGTTCATAATTAGCAAAAATCACAATTCACAGCTCTTGGCAATGTGGTCTCGCGCATATCTAGAAAGACTAGAGTCCAAAAAAAAGGGGAAACTAAAATTAAATTAGAAATAAATTTCGGCAATTATGCAAAATAGAAATCTCCAAAAATAACTATGCCAAATACAAGATGTGAATGACATGGACATTAAAGATATGAGCCGTCTAGATTTAAAAGGCCTCACGTGATGTTATTTTTTTTTTCCTCAGAAAAATTTAATTTACACGAGAGACTAGATCAGGCAATTGTTCTTAAGATGAACACACATTTTCGTTTATGCAAGGAAAAAAAAAAAAGTATTCTTCTCACAATTGCTTTGATTAAATCTGACATTAAAGGTGGAATTTATAAGACTAGAAAAAACATATAAGAAATTTCAACATTCCTGTAAACACAAGGCAAATTCCCGTATTTCAATATAAATTTTATAATTCCCCTTGAATTATGCCACTTATATGTATGAAGATATTTCTCAAACTTTAAAATGTGCCTATTTGAACCTGCTCTATAAAACACCGCCAATTTTGCCATTAGTATATAAAGGCCCGTTTAGTTCGCTGATTCGAGTTTTTAATTTGAGTTGAGATGTGACTTTATGTGAGAGCTTTTTACTGTAGCAAAAAAGTTAAATGTGATTGTTTCTGAGAGCTTTTTACTGTAGCAAAACTCAAATTTTAAACTCAAATCGGTGAAATAAACGAGGCCTTATTCTTTCCTGTTACTACGTAGCTCCATGGAGTAACTATTGCACTGTACTGGTTTATTCGGAAAGAAAGGGCACGTTTAGAACTCATTTCAAAATAATTTATTTTTTGTATGAAAATAAAAATAAAAACGTTTTCAATCTCATACATAAATTATTTTTAAAAATGCATTTAGTAATTTCATCAAGAGATTATTTTTAGTATAAAAAACACATTAATTCTCTCTCTGCTCGAGAGAGAAGAAAACGAAAACAAAAATTGAAAAATGACTAAAAATTATTTTTTATTTCTCTCATTTTACACTAAACCAAAAAATCATTTTCATTTCTATTTTTTATCTTTATTGCGTCAAACGCCGTTTTAAAAACGTTTTCATTTTTTTTCTCAAAAAACATGAAAAACAAAAACAGAATAAATTCTAAACACGGCATTCATCGAGCCCCTTATCTTACCCTCAGAGCCCCTTATCTTACCCTCAAACTCCGTCACACACCTAAGTACAACCGTCCAAAAAAAAAAAGACCGATTTAAATAAATGTTTTAGAAATCATAGTAACTAGTACAATGATCATAATTTAGAGGGAATTATCGAGAAATTTACCCTCAAGCGAATACATGGAAGATTTTTATATCATTTCTTAAATAAATGCCATAAAAAAAAAAAATTAAAGGGGGAAAACACTTGAAGCTTTGACATATAAGTGGTGTAATCCAGATAATTTATTAGATCAACTGATGTTCAGGTTCTTTTGCCAACAAGAGAACCAACCGTGGTTCTTCGCCTTCTCACGCATTTGAAACTTGATCTATGATTATGAAAACACGTCAATTCAGCTTATATACCTTTTATTAGTAAAACAGTATTTTCTAAGGAAGGAAAAAACTAGTAAAACTCCAGTCCATTTTGCTGATTTATCTACAAAGCCGACTGGAAAATCATCTCCGCGAGTTCCTGCAACGTGAAACCAACATAAAGTGGTTAATTTTATCTTTCATCTGCTTGGCGATAGAATCCGCGCAAAGGCAAACCGAGATCAACAAATTATAAGACTGCAGAGGGTAACCAACGTTTGAAATACTATTTCATAAAATGTCAACTCTGAAAAGGGTAGGAGAACAAGAAACAATAAAAGCAACTTTGTTCTCCCTCTAGAAATGTAGCTGGGCAAAAATTTGTTCAGTAAAATGATAAGAACTGTTGCCACAACTTTGTGTTTTAGGATACCTGCTTCGCGGATGGAACTTTGGGTTCTCCCCATTGCAAAGCTTTCTTCTCAAGAAGTTCAAAATCGGCCTTACCAGTCTGTGTGAAGACGAATCACCATGTTTTAGGTCACGAAATGGCATTTAGAACCAAGACACGGAGAGCACATAAGAAGCCTCTTACCTCTATTAGAGCCCCAAGTTCAGTGTCGAAACTCGCGTATCTTTTGCGGACAAGCTCAGCAAGAGAACCATCCTATTTTGTGATTAAGGAGGGAAAAAAAATTCCATTATCAGGAGAATGAAAATAAATTTTGTTTATAAAGTGAAACACGAAGGAAAGAGGAGTAATATAGGCATATAACCTCAATGATCTTGGCAGCATTACAGAGTCCCCGGGCCAGCGTATCCATTCCGCTAATGTGAGCGATGAACAAGTCCTCAACGTCTGTGCTCTCTCGCCGTCTATGTACGGTGGTATGGAGCAAGAAATCAATACAAAAACAAATGGCATTTAGAGACATCCAAAAAGCATGAGGGAGAGAAAGAAGAAAGCATGAATCGAAAGGAAAGAAAGAAACTAACAATTTTGCGTCAAAATTGAATCCTCCAGGCGCTAGGCCTCCCTGCAATGAAAAAATCAAAACGAAAAGATAAATGGATTCACCAGCAAAAATTTTCAATTTTATACAAAAAATTGTTTGAGAACCATTTTTAACATACATTTTTCACCACACTTTGCATCACCATAGTTGCCTCTGCAATATCAGTAAGAAACTGATCTGTATCCCAGCCTGCAGGGATAGAGGTTCCATGTCACTTAAACTTCTACTTTGCACGATGGCAACATTTTAATGCTGAATATAAAAAGTTTCGCAACTATTGAATACCAATCTGAGGATCGCCAGTGTTTGCATCGATGTTTCCTAGTAGATCATTGAGTCTTGCAGTTTCAAGCTCATGGTGACAACTGCAGAATGAAACAATATCACGGTTACGAAGCATGATTTTACAGTTTCATCTATGGAGAGGCTGAAAATAAGGCTTGAGATCTGAAATGTGATGTACCTGTGGCCTGCTAGTGTTGCATGGTTGCACTCGATATTGAGTTTAAATTCTCCTATAAGAAATGCAACAATGAGGTTGAAATTAATTCTTATGACAACAAGGGAAATATTATTTCGGCTTCACTGAAGTATTGTAGTACAATGTCAAGGATATTTCAGTAAGAAAACAAAAATATAAAACAACAGCAGCGAGCTTTTATACAAACTAGAAAGAAACATATCCTCAAAGACAAAATCCAATTACAGGAGTTAAATTAACCTATTGATATGCAATTTTAGCTTTCAAATTCTAAACCCCAGGTGAAGAATAAATACTAGGGAAGAAAGTCCCGTGATTCCAAATACTTAGCTCATGAACATAGTGAATACTAGTGCCTAATGATAGGGAAAAATTGGGAATATGGATACGAAAATCACCTATAAGACCATATTTTCGCAAGAAATTAGCCGTTGTTGCAGCATCCCAGTCATACCTGAGAAGTTAAAATTGTATATGAACATAGTGATGGATGAAGCCATGATACCACGAAAACAGATTTATTAAAATAAAAAAAAGGACTTACTGATGTTTGGTGGGTTCTTGGGGTTTAGGTTCAATCAGCAGGGTCCCTGAACAGCGCAGAAGAAGATATATAAGCTCGTTGCTTAACTTTTGGCTCAGTGTAAAACACAAAGATGTCAAACAAATTAAGAATTCCAGGGGGAAAGAAAAAATGCTCGCGTAATTTCAAATAGAAGTGATAATGAATTTTGCATTCTATTCTTTAATAAACAATATTTGTAATCACATCATGTTAATACCGCGTCTATATAAATGAGTTAGGTAGCATAGTTTAAAAATAAGGTACCCTTGAATCCAATTTTCTTCTTGTAGGCAACAGCAGCTTCAAGAAACCTGGCCTGTTGGTAGATAAACAGAAGCTCAAGTCAAGGAAAAAAGCACAGTAATGATACTAACAAAGATAGAAGGGCAGTACAAATATGCGAGAAATATTCCATAGAGAGTTGAAACAACAGATATTCATGACAGGAACACACCATATGATCGAGTTCTCGTCCCATGTCAGTGTTCAAGAGACTCTGGTAACCCTCACGGCCGCCCCAAAACACGTAATTTTCACCACCTAAATAATGTGTGACCTGAAGAATGCATAGATATAGAACAATATATACCTCTCCTGTAGTAAATAACATAGTAACAGCAAACAAGCACTTTCAGATCAAAAAAAAAAAAAGGAGTAACAGCAAATAAAAATGCATTCTCACTCTACGCTAGATGGACACACCCACCTCCATAGCTTTCTTAACTTGTGCAGCAGCATATGCATATACGCCTAATTCAGAACTGTACAATATTCAAAGAATAAGTCCATGAATGAGTCAAGAAATTAACAAAGTACTGCAATGATATTATTTACCTAGTGGCACCACCATGCATGTAGCGAGGATGCAAAAACAGCTGAGCCGTACCCCACAAAGGGCGGATTTTTGAACCCTGTACAGTCAAGATTGAGGCATTGAATGAGCAAAAGGTGGATTTCTTGGCAAATACATGGCCAAAAAAAAAAGTTCTGGTGTATGATATGGATAGAAACAATGATGTTTAGATGCAAAATCCCAGATAATAAGAATGTAAATCTAGTTGGTAATAAAGGACAAAGATAACGTGCAACGGGCATAGGGAACTGAGGTTCTTGTTCGTTTTTATAAAATTAAGTGGTAAAGAGAAATGGTCAAAGTGGTCATCACACCACAGCTTAGATGCCATCATGTAGAATTACAAGTCACCTGTTGAAGATTAAAAAACAGCTCTTTCTTTACAATAAATTATCTTAATTAAAATAAGTTATCATTGATTATTAAGAGACTTGAGTGGGTATGCAAGATTTTGAGATGTGTAGATTTTGTATCATAAGACCTCGGGGGAAAAAAAAAGAATAAACGTTAAAACTCTAATTTTCAGAAAACGAAAATTAATATGAAATACGATAAATCTCATTTTACAGATATTTTCATATGCGTAAACGATTTCTGAATAACAAATCCACAGATTACTAAGAGGAATAACTTTCTGAAGTCATCAAGGTAGGTGAACCTACTACTTGGATGGATTGTACTGTAAAAAATGATGGTATTATACATGCAATTCCATAGGAGAACTATGTCTTGGTTTATCCAGGTGAAATTACCTGAAGCTCCTTAGCAAATTCCACCACTTCATCCAAATTGGCATTTGTTTCCTGTAAGCAAAAACAATACAGAATGACTTGTTTCTGAGAGCTTATGAACAATATAAGAACATGCAAGCAGAACCACTAAAATTAAAGTCTCTCGTAAGTTTTTTACACTCAGTAAGTTGAATTATCATACAGACAGTTGACAAATAAAAGGAGCCTAAAAGTAAACTTTACCTCCAGGGTTTGGCCATCGGGAGCTATATCTCGGTCATGGAAACACCACCAATCAACCCCAAGCTTGTCAATGAACTCGAAGTTCGCTCTCACTGCATTGCACAGTTTAACAGTATCTCTTCTCACTTCAGATTCTACACTTTTTATTACTACTAAATGCACAAAATTGTGATGGTGAAAACAAAATAAATCCAGTAATAGAGGTAATTAGTTTACTTCTTCTCTTTGCCATAGCCACTGAATTCGTTCCATCCTCCCAAGGCCAATTCTTTGTAGGTGCACCGAATGGATCAGCTCCAGTCCCGCGGAATGTGTGCCAGAACGCTACACTGAATCTAAACCAATCCTGTAAACATTCTCAAACGTGTAAGAACTTGCTAATATCTGAGTGAAACCAAAACCTACTAAAGAATAGAACTAACAGAGAGGAATACCAACCTTCATTTTCTTGCCTAGTATCACCTCTTCTGCATTATACCATTTAAATGCGAGCGGGTTTTTGCTAGAAGGGCCCTGAAATTAGGATCATAGATTCATAGGTTTAGGAGATGTTTTAAACTACCATAATGTGCAAAATTTAGCACAGCAAAGAAAAAAAAAAGTTGTGAATTTTGATCACATAAAACCAATAAAATTCAGCACAACTCAAACCATAATAATCAATAATCAGCTTCCATAGCTTGTATCATAAATTAACCGAGGTCTCATAAATTAACATCTTTACCAAGCTTATTGTTTTTTAAGTTTTGAGACAAAATTAGCCAAAGATGTCCATACCTCATACTTGATTTTAGGTATGCCAGGGAAAAATTCCCCTTTCCATTCATCAGAATCACCACAGTCGCTTTCAAGATTAGCGGGGCACGTCGGCGGACCGCCATTCTGCACTCGAAAAATAAGGAAAGGAATCAGCAGAAAAGAGAAAATTTGATTAAAACAGTCTTAAAACTCAGAAACATTTTATAGAATCAAGTAAAGTAATATTTATTTTTTACCACTCCAAAGGCGACTATATTCAAACATAGGACAAGCAATAATATCTCCACAGGCTTCATTTTCATAGTCCCTGGAAAATATGCAATCAATTTATCAAATAAACTCCCTCAGAAAAAAAACAAAATAAAAATTCAAATAATCATAACCATGAGAACAGTGAATGTTCATAGTTAAATAAAAAACTTCAGGAAAAAAAAAGGGAGTGCTACTAAGTAAGACCTAAATAGGAACAAATTATATTATTATGCATCTCTGTGAATAAATAACAGAGTATATTGCAAATTTGAGGATTACCCATGATCGAACAATCATATATAAGAAAAGGGTTTTCAACAGAATCAAAAATCAACTAGAAAAGTCGTCATTTTACAAGGTTTGTCCTCTCTTTTCTCATTCATTCACTTACCAAGAAAGCTGAAATGAGATTATTATCTACTAGTCAGACCACAAAAGTAGAATTGCACAAGAATAATGTAGAAAGTAAAAAGAAATTGAAAGAAAAAAAAAGGAGAGAGATTACAAACTGAAATGGCGATAGGAACAAGCAAAATCTCCCAGAAACAGTAAGTGGAGTCAAAACCCAGTGCGGATATATAGCAGCTCCGTTTCTAAAAAAAAAAAAAAAATCTCATTTGTTTTTTTAAGGGAAAATAAAATCTCTTTGCTAATAATAAACGTGATTAATTTTAGGAGTTTTAAGAGAATAAATTGGATTAGCAAAAGACTTAAGATTACGTCACCTTCCACACGTGTTTTGTTTCTCGCTAAAACACATTCTTACGATCATTCCCTTTAGCTGTTTTGCTGTGGAGGTGCGGAATATGCTAATGGTGCCGCGAGGGAGGGGAAAATAAGTCATTCTGAATTCGAGTGACGCTGAAGGATAATCTTTTTATAGAAGATCTTGTGAAGATAACCTGACCTGCTATTGGGGATAAGTGTAGCTGACAGTGCGGAGATTCAGTTGATAAAAGTTTACGGATGGCCAATGACAGTCATTTGTCACAGTGTCGTTACGTAACAGACGGAGACGGTAGTCTTCCCTGGTCTCCGAAGGTGATTTTTCCTTTTTGTCTTTTTCCTTTTTTCTAAAGTACGCGGATGATAATTATCAAAGAAAAAAAAAAAAGTAGCGGATGATGTGGCGAATCGTTTTTGGATTAGTACTGACTCGGAGATGACAACACAATGACAATAATAGCCTCTGTTTTAATAATCCAAACTGTTATTGTAATTTAGGATTTAAATTGATATTTAGAAGAAGATAATTTAAGAAAAATTCAAATCATTCCGTTTGATTGGAGGATTCGTTCTCTGATTCGAATCATGGTTCATAGTTCGTTACAGTATTTTCTTTCACAAAAAATATACGTAAATCGAAAATAATTCTAATCTCATGGTTCTAATCCATGAACCAAAAACTCTTAATTTTAAAATTTATCACCCTATAAATTCTAACAATTTTAATTTTTTTTACAGTGAAAAAAATTATAATTCTATTTCTTCTCTCTCTTTAAGAATGTCATAGCTTCTTCATTTTAATTTCGATTAAGATGTTTTTTTTTAATGTGTTCATAATGAAGAGAGGAACAAATCTTCATCCATATTGCATAATTTTATTAAGAATGTCATAGCTTCTTCATTTTAATTTCGATTAAGATGTTTTTTTTAATGTGTTCATAATGAAGAGAGGAACAAATCTTCATCCATATTGCATAATTTTAGATGTCATTTACAATGAAATTTATAAAGATTTGTTACAAAACTCTAATGACTGTTTTCTACACGTTATCCAAACACAATTCAGATTTTATTCTAATTCAAATTATAATTTATTTACATATATAAATAACAGTTCAAATCACAATTCAATTTACTACAAGTCAAATCATCAGAACTCAAACAAAATTAACAAATTGAACCGTTGAACCAAACGGGCCATAGACATTTTAAGAGCAGTCCGATTTGTTCATATCATGATTTTTAATTTCTCTAGTTTCTCTTCTGCTAGGGTTTTCTTTTCCCCTTCCCTTCTTTGTGTCGCTGTAGGTTTCAAAGGACCAGAGTCCTGCGCTGCCTATGGACAATGCTCCGGACTCTTGGCCCCATGAGAGGGTGTCTGATGCTCCAGAATTCTTTTTATTTTTTATTTTTTTGCAATTGATCCCTTTATTTTCCTGAACTACAAATTAATTTTTTTGAATTTGATGAATTTGTTTGAATTTCCACACTTACATTTCCTCCTTAATTTTCATTTAACCTAAACATGAAACAATATGACCACTTTATAGGGTTAACAAGACTCGGTACAAAATGGAGATTAACACGAAAATTACACACTTCTCATGAGGTTTTTACACATACATATAAAAATTCGTAACCATTACAATATAAAGACATCTATCAAAATTAAGCAAATAAGAGTGTATGATTTTGAAAACAACCATCATAAGATAATAAGTTCATAAGAAAATCTAGAACTTTTGTGTCAATTTCAAGACGATTCAAATCTAACCCGGATACCTCAACCTACAAAATTCATATCATTTTTTAATTGTGTTGTCATATCATGATCCGTATTACCAATCCTATTGAACATGTTGTCCCCTAATAAGGTAACTAAAAGCCCATTAGAATCAACTAGCTTGCTCGCTATCGCAAATATGAGGGGCAGCATCTGACGGCCCCACTATATGTTAGCCACAACATAGTACAACACTAACTGAGATCTCCTCCACCCACTGTGGCTTCCGCAGGGCATCATTGTGGAATCTACGAGCAAGAGAATGGAGTAAGATCGAGATTATTTCACTCTTGAACTCAACGCCGCTGAAACACAATGGTGACCGCCCTTTTTGGTCTTTAAAGGCTTGTTTGTTCGGTCTTTTCGGTCTTCTAAGGGCCGCAAAAACATAACATAAAATTGAAGGAAAATTGGTTCTCGGATATCTAACCTCAAAATCATTTCCTATAAAGAAGAAATAAGAACCATAAGAATGGCAGCTGCAAACATGTACAAGCAACCCATCAAGCCAAGGTTGATATCTTCCATATCTGAGACATTTAAAGCAAAAAGAATACAAAATTAAGGTGATGCCAAAGGGTTTGGCAAGCTTTTATTCTTGTCGGAAAAGAAAAGCAGAAGATTGGAAATTGATCAACCAACTTTCTCCGACCATAAAATGGGATTTCCAAACAACATAGGCAAGTATCAGATCGGCCGGACCATAGGGGAAGGCATGTTTGCTAAGGTAAAGCTGGCTGCGGACACCACCAATGGCCATTGTGTTGCAGTCAAGATCATCAATAAGAACATGGCCATTATATGTTATTTATGAATTCTCTTGGAGGGACCAATCTAGACTCAAAAGTATTTTGGCACCTTATTCGTCAGAAAATTTACTTTTGAATAGCAAGGGAAATCTGAAAGTGTCAGATTTTGGATTAAGCACACTGCATGAGGTATAGAAAATGCAAATTTACGCTTTTATTTTGTCACATTATTATTTATCCAAATACTTATGCTAAAATTAAAAAAAATTAAAAAAATTCTTTCATAAATTAATAGCCAGGAATAAGAAGGTACATAATCGATCATTTTTAAATGTTTTTTTTTAGTTTCTGTTTTAGAGCCTACTACAAGTATGCGTAAGTTTTTTTTTATTATTACTCATATTAAAATCACATCAAATTAAAAAAATATAAAATAAACAATTTTTGACACATATTTGATAACTAAAATTAGGAAACTAGCAGTGACATTTTTTTTTTTTTTAAGACTTACCAAAGAAACTCTTTTTTTTTTGTTAGTGCTTTTTTTTTTTTTTGCAGTTTAATTTTTTACATGTTTTTTAAAATATAATTTTTTGCACTTTACTCATTATTATTGTGTATCTATTATTCTATTACATTCTTCATTTTTTTTATATAATATGGGATTGAACCCATAATACCCCATCAAATCGCACCCCACCCAAACTCCCAATACCACCAGACGTCTTAGGCTTATTCTATTACATTCTCCGCCTTGTTTTTTTGGGGGAGGTGTTTTTTCCTTTTTTTCCCCTCACTTCTTTATTCCCTTCCTTTTTTTCTCTCTACAATACGTTTTTTTTCTTTCTCAATTGTGACCCCATAAATATTCGTTCTCACTAATTGTCTCATTGAAATAGTTTCTTCTTATACATGTCCAAACCAAAACTTTTTTTTTTTTTTATGAAAATAACCCTCTCAAATACTTTTTTTGCTATATATGCCTTTTTTTTTTTTTTGCTTTCTTCTTCTTTCCCTTCACTTCTTTCTCCCATGTCTTTTTTCCCTCTACAATACATTCTGTTTTTCCCCTTTCTCAAATGTGACCCTCGTAGATATTTTTTTTCACTCTAGTTGAATAATTTCTTCTCATATATGTCCTAATCAATTTTTTTTTTACGAAATGACCCTCCTAAATACTTGTTGACTATATATGCCAATATATAATATTTAATATCTTATTTTAAAATGTGTCTTTATAGAAACATTTTATTGTAATCTGTCTAGATAAATTTCTTCCATGTGAACTACTAAATAATTTTTTGATTAATTCACCCTATTAAGAAAATTTTTCCCTTCTAATATTACTCTATTAATATTTTTTCTACTGGATTTAATCGTTAATGATAAAAAACATAAACTATAAAATTTTCAAACAAAATAGGATCTCCATACAAGAAAAAAATGTTAAATACACTACTCCGTGCGTATTTACTACTAGTATTAGGAATAAAACACGGTGATACACTCTTCGAGTCAGTGCTAAACTCCAAAATAACATATAGTTCTTCTTCTTACATACCCCCCTCATTGCAAAGTAATTTTCCATTTATATGACCCTCTCCTAACGAGAAATATTCTCGAATCAACAAATTGAAAAAATAAAAGAAAAATGGAAATGGAGATAGCTGAAATCAGTTGGAGAGATCCGCTTTTCTCGCAACGGAATCACGCATCACGAAGTCGTTGTACTTGCCAGGCACCTTGCGAATTCTGACCTCACGCGAATTGCCCTCTTCAGCGTCCAGAGGCTTTGCTGCTGTCTTCCTCAAAACGACCCCCATCCAATGTCGTATTCGCTTGGGTCTCCTCTCCTTGGGCTTTAGGATCAGCCCACCTCTTCAGCTGCTCTTGGACCTGAGGCCCGTCGAATGTGAGACCAGCCCAGCTATCACATGGCATCGGTACAATACAATTTGGACACGAACAAATAGAATATGCATTATCTGATCTTCTTCATATTGAATCTCCACCTTTCGTTTGGCCTTTCCCAGTTCTCAATTCTCGTAAAAAACTTGGGAGCGAGGAAAAAGATGGAGAAAAAAAAAAAAAAATGAAGCTCAAACTTCAACTACTACGGCTAATAATTTCAACTTCTCCAATAATATTTCTAACCCTAAACCTTTCAACAATCTGCTTATCATCACCACCACCAGCAGCCGAAAACCCGATTCCGACCCGGTGGCCGGAGCAGTTCCACGCGCTTTTGTTCATGAACTTTACCCCCACCGGGGAGCTCCATTTAGCCGACCTTTGGTACGACTGGCCTAGAGGCCGCAACGTCAACATTCACCAGAATCAGCTCGCGAAGAAGCTCCTTTTCGCCGTCGAGTGGAACAACGGCACGTCGTTTTACTACACACTAGGCAACGGCGGCGATGGCGATGGCGGGACCTGCGACGTTACGCAATTCGAGGTCGGGATTCCCCGGCCGGATTTCCTGGCCGAGGGAGCCGAGTACCTTGGGACGCAAGTAACGGACGGGTTTCTCTGCCATGTGTGGGAGAAGGCGGATTTCATTTGGTACTATGAGGATGTTCTCACCCGTCGTCCCGTCCGTTTTGATTTTTCTGATGGCGGTATGATCATGTTTCAAATAAATTCTCGATAGAAAATAATATATATATATATATATCCAAGATTACACGAATTTCTTGGACAATATATATATATATATATAACAGATGGATAATATTTTATCTTACCACAAAATGCTCATTTTAATTTTTAATTATAGGTTTGGTACGAATTAGTTAAAAAAACGTTCAATACTTGTAGGTTCATTGTACTAATAAGTAAACAGAAAACAGAAAAAAAAAAAAAAAAAAACTTAATTGAATCTACTGCGTCAACTAGTTGTAGATTTCATTTTTCATTTTTGATTTTTTGGTTCATTATATGAAGTTTGAAAACGTTCACTAACTTGTGAGCATTGTCTACTACATAGAAACTCTCTCTGATCTATTCGTTCTATTTGCAGAAGTGAATTATGGATTTTGGTGAGTTGAATCAAGAACGTGATAAGATTTTTTTTATTTATTTTATATTAGCTGCTAGTTCTCTCTCTGTCGTTTTTGTTTTTGTTTTTTTACTTTAGAATTGGAGAACTTTGTGCTATTCTATTATATATATACGTAGTCTTGGACCGTTTTATTATATTGAACTAAAAGTACATTAATTTAACGCATGATTATTTTCACTATTGATCCATTAGATTATGCAACTTTTCTCAAAATTATCCTTCAAAATTTATTTTATCGGTCTAGCCACCTTTTATATTTTTTAATTAATATACGTTTTTGATATCTCTGTGATAAAAGGATTATTTTCCGATGTAAAGAGATAAAATGGGAGAAAAAAAAAACAAGTTTTTTATTTTTTTAAAATGTCTAAAATAAAAAAATAAATCGTACCAACCAATCCAGATTAGGTTGTCTCTTTTTCACACTTTTATGTCTGTTAAAACACTCATTTGCCATCTTTGTGCTATATTTTGTCTGAAAATATAGTTTATTAAATAACGAGTTAAAAGTGTAAGTTTAAGAAAATATTAGGATAACTAGATCTCTTAAAGTAAATGTAAGACCCATGCATTTTAAGGGGTATTTATCTTCTTTTGCTTTCCTTTTACCCACAAAATTCTTTTCCAAAATTTGAAAAAATTATTTGTAAATTAGATTGAAAAAGGGAAAAGAATAGTTTCAACAAATTTACTCTAAAATGCATGTTAAAATGTTCTAAATTGATACGAGTTTGTTAGCTCCATTAAATTTCTCCCATGATCATGTATACCTACTAGCATTAGCTATAGTATATACTTTCCGTGGTCCTAGTGGTAGAAAAATAGAGTAATTAACATATTAGGTATTCCTATAGTTAATTTTACTTATATACGTTGTACATATATATATATATATATATATATATATATACATGTTTTGTTTATTGTGATGAATTTTTCTACAAGCCTTATTGATCAGTTTGTCTGTGTGCATGCTATCAGTTAACTTGGCTCCTTAAATTTTTTTTCCCCCCCTAAGAAAAAAGCTTATCTCATATGTATTCATTGATTGATTCGGAAAATTTGCAGGAATAACTAATCACGTAATGACGTTTGAGGTTGGTGCAGTTTTGCCAGATTCAGTAACGCAAGCACCTGCCTATTGTTTCAAACAAGATAGCGACGCATGAAATGAAATTTATCAAATAATAGAGGCATATATATATGTATATATATACATATATATATATATATTGGATAAGTCGTGGGAACATGAACAATATGTACTTTTTTTTAATAAAAAAAGACAGTATCTTATTCAACAAAAAAAAAAAAGAAATTTACAATTCTAATTTTGTAGAGGTAGAAATACCAAGACCAATACAATGAAGGGATATTTATATTTTTGTACCTTATATTTTAAGTTTATTCAAAAAATATATCTTGTATTTTTTTTATCTCATCAAATATATGTCATCAGATTACATTTAATAAATAAATATATACCTTAGGTGAGTCAATACTTGATTCTAACTTATGAATTACCAAAAATAGCCTTGATAAAGAAGACTTTAAAAAAAAAATTCTTAACAAAAAGAAAAGCAAAATAAGCACAAAAAAAAAAAAAATGTAAAAGGGCAATTTTTAAAAATATTTCTTCAAATGAAACTCCTTTTTATTTCCACCCTTTAACATTAGCATATATAGTTCTACTTTTTATACTAGAATTAATCAAGGAGTATAATCTTTTAAAGGGGTGCTTTTAATAAATTAAGTATTTAAAGAGTTAAAATCTGTAATTTTTTCAAAAGGGAACCATATTTCTCAACCAAAACCCAAATTCTTTCCCACCGGATAATTGACTCCATATTGAATAATTAACAATAACATCAAAAATTTGTTCGAACAATAACATTCTCCATCAAAATCAGTTTTTTTTTTTTTTTTTTTTTTTTCCTTTCTTTGCATCTTCCTCATACAATAACCTCATATCGAAGGAGACCTTGGAGGAGCCAACGGCCGGGGAGAGAAGAAGTGTTTCCGAGAAAATGTGGTCCGAGCCACCGTCACACAGCCTCCAAATGGCACCATCAAGTCCTCCGGCAAAAACCTCCCCCACATGATGAGCCTTAATTCTACGGTCCATAGCTTTCACATCGTCTTGTACAGGCTTAGGTTCTATATTTGTAAAGGTATAGATTTTTATATTAAATGTAATTTGATGGTATATATTTAATGAGATAAAAATAAGACTGCATTGTAAATTTCTTTAATCAGAAACTAAAACCCGCATTGCCAGATTAAAACCCCAATCCCTGATTCTCATTCACGTTTCGCTTATTTTCCCGGGGAAAAAACAGATCATGGACGACAATACCTTAAATTACATGAGAGGAACCAAAAGAGACAACTTAGTGAGTGCGCGCGCGCGCGTGGAGAACATTGGTGGAGATCTGGGGCCAGAAGTTAAGAGTTGAGGTTGGAGAGCAAGGGACAGCTGTTGTTAAGCATGGCTAGGAGGCCTCCAGATACACAAATCTGCAGAGGTTAACGGTTGGGTGAGCGCAACGGAGCGGTGGCGCGCGGGGCGAGCAAGGACGATGACAGATCTGTGGTCGGCTGGGCGCAATGGGGATAGCTCTCGCCAGGGCTGGGTTCTTCGAGGTTGGGGCGCACCGGGGCTGAGAGTTCATCGAGAGAGAAGAGATAAGAGACAGAAAGATGGAGAGATACTTTTTAGAGTTTTCAACTTAGGCCTCATCCCATAGATTTGAGTTTAAAATTTAAGCTTTTTTTTTGTCTAAAAAACTCAAAAAAAGATAACTCGAGTTTTAATTTTATTCAAGTTCACGTTATTTTAAATTTTGATTTTATTCAACTTTACTCAACTTACAACTTTAACTCAGGTTATAACTCAAATTTAACTCAAAAATTACACTCAAGTTACATTCCAAAAGAACAACTCATTTTCTTAAATTTTTTTAAAAACAGTCGTATTTAATTTTTTTATTACAGTAAAAAACTCTTATATAAAGTCACATCTCAATTTAAATTAAAAATTCTAATCAACAAACTAAGTGGATCTTTAAAATATTTAATATATATTTTAAAAATTTTAATTTTTAAGGTATTAGTTGATACATATACTCACAACTCAAATCATATAATTATGATGTTTTTTATTTCATAAAAAATTTAAATAAAATAATTATCGCTCATAATTCTCTAACATAGAATTTAAGGGTTTGGACCCTTAAAACATTATATTTCAAAAATTTTAGTTTTTAAAGTATTGGTTCTAAAATCATATAATTATAATGTTTTTATTTCATAAAAAAATTAAATAAAAAAATTACTGCTAATAATTCTCTTACATAGAATTTAAATCATATTTTAAATACACTTTTCGGCCTCAATTAATTATTATAGAGGATAAAAATAACATTTCACGTCTTAAAAACCGATCAAAAAAAAAAAAAAAAAAAAAAAAAAAAAAAAAAGACAAAATTCTAAAAACTTATTTCAACGTAACGAGGTACCAAAATAATTTTTTTTATTTTAAAAAAAACACACACACGCGAATCGATTACCTGTGTTTTCCAAGGTCCAACTCGACTATTCCAAAATTCCTTTCTGAGACGACGAAGAAAGAGACTCGGAAACAACGCAACGAACGACACGGAAAAAAGTCTATCCATCTCCTTCATTCACAGTCCATTTTCTCAAATTTCTCAAATTTGACCCCCCAAATTCAAACATTCTTCTCTCGCAGGCCCTCTTCTTTTCCTTCAGGCAAGCAATCGCAATTCTCTCTCTCTCTCTCTCTCTCTCTCCTGTTTCTCTCTCTAACTGGCTTTGCGCAAATCGCTCTCACAAGTCCGTGCTGGCTTTTGCAGGGAGGAACAGGGTTCTGCGCTCGAGATCCGATCTCAAACCAATCCCAATTCGATCTATTTTTCCATTGATGCTTTGAAGAAATCACAACGCAATGGGTTTGTTGTTCAGTCGGATGTTCTCTTCCCTGTTCGGCAACAAAGAAGCTCGGATCCTTGTCCTTGGCCTCGACAATGCCGGAAAAACCACGATTCTCTGTAAGCTTTTTCCTTTTCTACGCTCTCCGTTTAGCTTAATTGGTTAATTTTTGGTGATTTTTATGTTTTTGTGTTGGATCTTGTGCAGATCGGCTCCAGATGGGGGAAGTAGTCTCCACGATTCCAAGTTCGTATTTTTTCCTTTTCTCCTTTATTTGGATCTTAATTACTGCGGAATTTCAATATTTCCTTTTCTTTTGTAACTGCTTGGTTGGCGAGAATCTGGAATAAAGGAAGAACTCAGTTTCTTGTATGTATATGTAGATGTATGTATATGTGCATTTTCCTAGAGTAACTTAATAGTGAGCTTAATTTTTTCTTGGATGCAGCAATTGGATTCAATGTTGAGACGGTGCAGTATAACAACATCAAATTTCAAGTCTGGGATCTGGGTATGCCAATATATTCCCCTCAAATGTAACTTGAAACGGCATTAAAATTAGGTTTATAGCAAATTTCATTTTACTTTTATTTGCTGCTTTTTGAAAAAGAAACCTTTTACTTGCATAAAAAGTAGTTAAATTGCTTCAATATTCGTTTTTCTGAGTCTCCACTCTTGTACTTTGTGAAGGTTTGGTTCTTAAAATGGAGTGTGGCTTATGTCTGGCTCATTATTTGGCGTTGTTATATATCAGAATTTGGTTGTACACTAATTCAGAGGATTACAATGAGGCAACGTTCTTTTGTGTACGTGTGTGTGTCTATATATCTATGCGCGCGCGTGTGTATATATATATATATATATATATGTATGTATGTATGTATGTATGTATATATATGTGTGTGTATATATATATGATGAATACTCTTGGTAACAGAAGACAACCCTTTAAGTTGATCTTATATTGCAATTATCCATAACTTTCAACCTGTTTCAAATTGGTTTCTAGGTCACTTGCTCGAGTAAGTGAAAAAAAAATTAGATGAAGATCTTTGGTTTGATAGCTAAATCATAAATTGTTTGACGATTAAGTGAAGTTCAATTACCTCACTTTTGTCATATGATCTATTCCAAATTCCTTTTAAAGTGAACTAAATTGTTACTAGTTCTGTCTTTTTTCATCATTCATCATTGCCTTAAATGGTCATGGTGGGTGCATTTGGATTAATCTTGAGACGCAATGGTTGAATGCAGTTTTGAAAGCAGAAGGGTTAATTTAGTTTGCAAATGGTTGGGGTTATTTATCTTAAAGGACTTCTTTTGATATTTGACTGGTTATGTTTGAATTTCACATTGCCATTTTTGTTTGAAACTTCTTTCCTTTAGTAATTTCAGTTTTTGCTATAAGAGGGTTTAATTCATTTGATTATTTTCTCTAATGCCTTTTGTGTTGTCTGTGGATACAGGTGGACAAACAAGTATTAGGTATGCTTCTCTATCATTTGAAGTTGTTTTTGCTTGCTCTATCTATTACTTAGGAAACCTTGTGATGGTCAATGACAATTTCAATTTTCAATAAAACTAATCATCGGTAGTCTGTAGATTGTTTGCTTTAACTGTCTTATACTTTCCCCATGTATATGAAAAACTTGTGGACTACGTCTCCCCTTGATGTCAACAACTCAACATGGGATGACACATAATAGTATGACTTGGATCATATCTTGCTCATATGGTTATAATTTAATTAATTTAATTGAATTCAAGTGCACTTTGTACATTTTATGACTTGTGACACAACCTCTGTTGTTGAAACTTTGATTGATTTCTTATTCTTTGTGTGAAACTGGTTTCTACGTCAATTTATGTTAAACCTTCATTGCGTCGGTTGCTAGTAGTTTTATTAGTTAGGGGTTATCTTCTGGCGGTCAAGTAGCTGGACCAGACGACATTGGGCCAGCCTGAAGTCTAGGTTTTAGATTCTGTAATAGCATTGCTGTCTCTTGTTTGACAAGAAGCAGAATATTCATTTATTACACAACTACAGTTTAAATGCTATTCATTTGCTTGTTTGTTTGTTTTTGTTTTTGTTTTTTTGTTTCGTTTTAAAAGGAAAATGTATGTGTCTTTTTCTTTTTCTTTTTCTTTTTTCTTTTTTTTTATAACTTGTAGGTGAAGGGGATTGAAACACCACACCTTGTCGTGGAATCAGTAGTGGAATTACCACTAGGTTATGCCTGCAAAAAGAAACAAAAAGTTTGGGCGCGTTTGGAACTCGTTCCAAAATGATTTTGTTTTTTATATGAAAATGAAAATGTTTTCAATCTCAGACATAAATCATTTTTAAAAATGCTTTTGGTAGTTTTATCTAGAAATTGCTTTTAGTATAAAAAAAACCTATTAATATATCTCTCTCTGTGCTCGAGAGAGGAGAAAACGAAAACAAAAAATAAAAAACGACTAAAAATCGTTTTTCATTTCTCTCTCATTTTACACTAAACCAAAAAATCGTTTTCATTTCCGTTTTTTGTCTTTATTGCGCAAAACGCCGTTTTAGAAACGTTTTCATTTTTCTTTCTCGAAAAACGTAAAAAACAAAAATGGAATCAATTCCAAACACGGCCTTTGTTTCCCGGTGAGGCTGTTGCAGAACTTTGTAACTGAAGGATTCATGTATTACTGTTAAATGGTAAACATTGAAATCTGTGGTAGTCAAATTTAATTAAGAAGTAACTATATTTATTGATTCATTGAACATCACAATTAAAAACGATGATAAAATCAAATGGAAGCATAACCCTTGAACCATGAGTGAAAACACCATCCAAGGAGGTTTTCTTCATGTACGACATCTGAATTTTGTGTCTTCAAAAATTGTTTATCCTATCTTGACATATAACAACCCTTATTAAGATGACGGTGGATACTCATTGGGCCAAATCTTCAATTTGGTTGTTGTATGCATCATTTAAGGATTAACACAAATAAGAGTTGTATGTGTTACTCTGTTGGAGTCAAACTGTCTGCTTGAATATATGCATACCTTGTGTCAATATTTACAGAATTCTCTCAAGTGTACCAACTCAAAAGTCTGCATGGATTGTGCTTACATTACTGTCTTTTTTGGTATTGAATCTTCTGATGATTCATACATCTTTCTTTGGATTATTGAGTTCAACACACATCTTATAGCTTTGGCTATATCAGTTATGCGCTGCTTCTCTGAATGATTATAAAGGGCTAATTTATACAGGCCATATTGGAGATGCTACTTTCCAAACACTCAAGCCATAATCTATGTCGTTGATTCCAGTGACACTGATAGACTGGTAATAGCTAGAGAGGAGTTTCACGCGATTTTGGAGGTAAGCTTACATTTGGCTTGGGTTTATGTTTATACAAGGTAGTTTATTGGAAAATTTGAGGTTCTATTGTGAGCACTTATTTTTTAAGTAGTATTTGTCATTCATAGGTTGTTTATATCAACAATGTTCAGAGAGCATTATGTAACACTGTTTTAGGTGATAAGTATATATTTTTGGATGCTTCTGGGGTTTTGATAGTTGCGGGTTTCTGCAAATTTACAAATTGGATCCTTTTCTGTGGAATGCATGTTGTTCCTTCGAGTTTAGTTTTTTATTTTATTCATTTGTCGCGGGTTATTAATGCCTTTTTTTTTGGGTTCTTATTTGCCATCTTACATCTTTGAATCTATGGCAGGAGGAAGAGTTGAGAGGTGCTGTTGTTCTCATTTTTGCGAACAAGCAGGTTACTGCCATTACCCTATATATACTTTAAGAATTGATTTGTGATTGTAGCCATAAACGTAAGTGAGAGAATATTTAGGAGCACTTGCATTTCAAAGAGTTAAGTGATATTCATGAAGTGGTTCTGTAATCGATGTCCCTTTGTCTAGGTATCATTTATAGTACTTATTGTTAAGAAAAATGTTTCAATGAAGTTTGTGTTTCCTTGATTTTACAGGATCTTCCTGGTGCGCTTGATGATGCTGCAATCACCGAGTCTTTGGAGTTGCACAAGATTAAGAACCGCCAATGGGCTATTTTTAAAACTTCTGCCATCAAAGGAGAAGGTCTTTTTGAGGGCTTGGACTGGTAAGCTTTGGTAACAATAATTGGTGGCATGTTCCTTGGTAACACTAGCTTGAGTGATATGCTTTCAATTAGTGGCATGTTCTGGGTAGAGAAAACTCCCTTACTAGTTATTTTTGGAACGTAAGCTGAGAGAAATTTCTCTTTCTCAATTGGACTCTTCCTATCCTATAAACCATCTGATTTAAGAATCTCACATCTATAACAAAAGCCATTTATGCATGCTAAAGTTGAGAGAAGTCAAGGATCTTTTTAGGTGTCTAATACTTTGGACGTGAATAACTATAAATTATGTGCACGACAGACTCATATTGGTTCGAACACCAGAGGTCCAGAACTCTCTTATGGGGAGTGAGATACCAAAACTGAGGTTTTCTTGTTTGTTGACATACTTGAAATGTTCTCTATCGGCTGCAGAATATTTTTGTCTTTGGTCCTTTGGATAAGGATATATTTTCCATTCTAATGGTTCAATTGAAGAATTGCTAGTATTGATTAGTCTTAGGCACCTATAGTTTGAGAAAACGATATTTTGCATTCTAATTGTTCAATTGAATTGCTAGTGTTGATTAGTCTTAGGCACCTATAGTTTGAGAAGACTGTAAGCAGTGCTGAAAAGTAGCTGACAAGGGTACACAAGTATATAGTAAAAAAAAAAAAAATTGCAGTAAAATGATAATTGATAGTGGCAATATTTTACCGCTAATATCAATTATCATTGACAAGCAGTGGTCAATTATCATTGATAATTGATAAGCAGAGCTCTTATCAATTATCATTTTACCGCAATATTTTTTGGGTCTAGTGGCACTGGGGGTTTGGGTGGAGGTTGCAGGTTCAATCCCGTAATGTATAAAAAAAAAATGATAACTGATAGGAGCTGATTTGTAACGTTTTGGTCGTTCTTCTTTGTTTTGTTTTGTTTTGTTTTTGGTTTCTTTTTCCCCTGTAATTTCTCTTTTTGATGGATTACTCGTCCATCTAAAACTTGCTTATGTACTTTTCTTTGTTTCATTGAACCAAAAAATGATAATTGATAGGATCCTCCAAGGGGTAGCTTAAGTGGTTCAGGACCTCGCCTTATAAGTGGGAGGTCTTGGGTTCATTCCCCGTTGGGTACCTCCCTCAGTTTGTCCCGGTGTGTTCGGATAGGAGCGTGTATTAGTCAAGTGCTCGGATACCCTAGGTTATTAAAAAAAAAAAAAAAAAAAAAAAAGAAAAAATATAATTGATAGGGTGTCAGAGATGTAATTTGTAAGACATCGTAAAATTGCATGTGTCCATTGTCTTTTAAACCTTTTGCTTGTCAATATGAGAATTGTGATGTACCAAAGGTGACATTATTGCGCAAGGTTTGCAGTTCAAAATGAAATAACACAAATGCTGCTTTCCCTGTATCTTCTGTTTTTTATTCTGTTGCAACTTATTTACATCTTGTTACTTTTTCTAAAAAGTAAAATCTAATGTACATAGTAACTTTTTAATGAAGGTTGAGTAACACATTGAAATCTGGAGGTGGCTAACTCTTTGGCTTGGAGATGAATTAAAAGATTGCTGCCGTGTGGCCATGCTGTAAACTTACGCTGACGGTGTTTACTTTGGCACTACTTTCCGGTAGAAAATTCTTGTCATGAGTGTGGTTATGTCCGATTGACCTCCGCGTTTTCATGTTCTCCCATTTCGAATTTGGCGACTGATATACATGTAAAATTTTCATCATAGATACGAAAATTCGACTCTTTCCTTGGTAAAAATAGGTGGAAAAAAGAATCATCTATGTTAGTTTTCCTTTTGTTTGTATTAGGTTCAATGGGATATACTTCAGTGGTCTAATCTCTAACCTTGGAGTTGGAAGGTGGTCTAAGACCTTATTCATTTTACCGATTCGAGTTTTGTTACAGTAAAAAGTTCTCAGAAATAGTCACATTTAATTTTTTTGCTACAATAAAAAGCTCTAACATAAAATTACATCTCAACTCGAATTAGTAAATTAAATAAGTTTTTATGTTTTGTTTTTGCTTATTTAATTTTAAATTTACCACATTTTTGATAATCTTACACGGAAATTTTACCTGCTGACATGGTGTTAATTAGCTTTATCAATTAGTAGCTGCAAAAGCTTTGCTTTTTTTTTTTTTTTTTTTGTGTGTGTCCTTTATGCGCAATATGATCCTAATTTAACCCCAGGTTACTCAAATTCGTATACTTGATTGAAATAATCAGTATGATTTTGTTAAGATTAGTACAGTAAGCAATTAAACCGTAGACTTAAGGCAGAAAATGATCGATTAATTCGGAGAAATTATATTCACTGAAATTGAGAATTGAACAGATAAGGGCAGTCCAAGAGCCACAGCTCGTGAAGTCTCTCCTAATTCACAAAATGATTGATGATCTACAACACCCTCCATCGTCACGTGTTATTCCAATTTCTCCAACTCTAACCGACCAACTTGTCATTCTCTCTCACCCTTCACGTCGGTCCTCTAGAACCTTCCCAGCCAAAAAACCAATCCCCGAAGATGATTCTGCCAACTCAGCATCAGTAGAAGATTCCATGTCCTGCAATGTAGGATTAGTACCCTGCTCGCCCAAGCGTGCTTCCGTAAGGGATTTCTTGCGGCTTGCGTGAGTAAAGTGCAAGAGCGGCTTATCATATTTTAAAGGATTCTAGTGACTCTTGAATTTTAAAGTTATTTTTAATTGGTTATATGAACTTTAAAAATTCTCATTTTGTTATCTTTCTAAATTTTGAATTGTCTATACTTAACCGCTTATGTTGTAATTTATGTTAAAAACATATAAAAATAAGAGAATAACACAGTCATGTAAGTAAAGTGTAGGGGCGGCTTATCATATTTTTAAAGATTATTATCATTGGTGGCTCCTGAACTTTATGGCAATTCCTAATTTGTCTTGTGAACTTTTAAAACTCTCATTTTGCCCCATAAATTTTAAATTGTTCCTATTTAATCTTTTATGTTGCAATTTATGTTAAAAACATATAGAAAAAAAAAGAATAATAGTCACGTGGCCTTTCTGTTTAAATTTATGTTAATAATAAACAAATAAAAACTACATGACCACGTTTAACCATTTATTTTTCCGTCTGATTTTAACAAAAGTTCTTGAATTGTCAGCAGAGATGAATTCTAAAATCAAGGGGTTTGAACCATTGTTAACGGTTTGAATTATCCTTAAATTGTCATCTCCTAAACATCAATATAAATCCTGAACTACGGTTTCTATCCTAAACAACGGTTCGGATTGTTGAAACAAATAGGGGCTTGATGATAATTTGGATCTACCATTACTAGACGCACAGATTAGGAATCGACGGTTGCCGCATGATAACTTATGGTGGATCAGTAAACTACAAGAATTAGACCCGATGTCAGGACAATAAACAATATGTCGTTACAAATATCTCATCTAAAATGTGTAAAGTATATACATTTCTTAATAAGGTAAAGAAGGTATAGTTTAAATTGCAGTCAATCAATCTGAATTGGAGAGTGGACATATTGCTGTCAATGTCTCCTGTTCAAATTTTCTGTCTTGTTGTCTATTACCCAATACTATTTTTCCACATCCTTTAAATTATTTAAGAATTTGATTACAAAATAAATATTAAAGGAAACGTCTCTAGTCCGACAGCCTACTTACAGTTTAGGCATATAATATTTTTTGTTCAATATTATAACATCATTTTTACGTTTGTGTTACACTCAACAAAATGTATTTACCGTAATGTTATGTTACACTTGTTTTAGCGTTACTATGGAGTGTAAATTGGCCGAGTAGGATTTGGTGTAGCTGAAATTTGGGCCGAGTTTCAAAAATTAGGCTGGGAATTTGCCAGGCCACAATAGGCGTAGGGCCCAAAAACCCGTACACCATCGGGTTACCTCGGGTAGGGTCAGCTCAGCAAGATAATGTGGTTGGGCCAATATTAGGGCATGTTGGGCCCTCTATTAAGCCTGGCCCATTCTCAGTTTTGAAAATTCGTTTTGTTACCTTTTACGTTAAAGTTGGAAAAAAAAAAAACAGATTACCAAGCTGGCTTAGCAAGGTTTCCTTTGAGAGAGAGTGAGAAACATTAAGGTTGGGCATTGTTTTACCTGCTTTTTCAACAAGTTAAGCCGGGTTGGGGTACCTCGGGTTCATAGAACCGCACCCCGCACCCCTACCCACACAGTGCGGGTTGGGCATAATTAAAACTGAAAATTAAATAAAAAATTGAAAACCCGGGCTACCTCGAGTAGGGTCAGCTCGGGTCAATCGGGTTCGTCAGGTTTGTGGTGATTTCTTACAGCCCTAGTTACTATGTTATATTAAAATGTTACAAGTATTGAAATTTTAACTTTAAAATAAAAAAATGTTACAAGTATTGATGGCTGCTGGACATAAGACTTTGTCAAAACTAAATAACAAAACTATAAGTAATTTAACGAGTTTCCAAAATGGTATTGGGGATAGCTAATACGACAGTAAATGAGATTTCATATATTTCGTTAGACTAACTTTATTTTTTCACTAGGTATCCCTCTCTACCAAACAGCATGATATCTCATTTTCCTAGTCGTACGCTCTATGTCTATTGTAAGTTCCACTGTTAAGTTGTAGAGTTTAATTAATTGTCAAGATGATTTATTGTCCGAACGATTTATTAAGGGTAATTTACAGCCCGTTTGGTAAAAGGATTCGTTCCCTTATTCGAATCATGATTCGTGGTTCGTTACAGTATTTTCTCTCACAAAAAATACACGTAAATAAAAAATGGTTCTAATCATATGGTTCTAATCCATGAACTAAACGGGAATTAAGAGATTCCATACTTGTAAAAGGCGGTTGTCTTAATTTTTATTATATAAGGGGCAACCAGTTTTGAGTTATTATTAAAGATGTTAGAGAAAACACAGAGAGTAGTTGGGTGTGTGATTTCTCTTTTAAACTTCTTCATAGTGAAAAGATAGTAGCACTTAAAAAATGATGCAGTCTCACATTGAGATGAACCTCTATAAATTTTGCGTGTTAGTATTTACTTGTTTTCTCTTATTGTGATTTTATTGCTTTCCGTTACATAGAATTATGATGGTTGATTCTGAACGTGATCAATCAAAGGTATACAAATACGATATCATACGTCCCAGACACAAATTAAAATTTTTCACTCTTTTATCTTCCTCAGTTCAGCATACTATTTCAAAAAATTAAAAAAATTAAAAAAATTAAAAAAATAACAAACATAGCCCTAAAGGTAACAGAATGAAGAAGCAACACAAGCACAGGAGATATATAAGGCAAAACAATGCTATCACGACATGCATTGATAATTGGTTCCATAATATTTATGTTACATATATTCGCAATGATTCACATGCCCTTGCCAAGTCATATTTCCCAACAAGAGTACGCTAGGCTCTATCTTTTACCAAACGCCCATTCATTTTTCTTTTCCAAGTCATGAAACGAAAAAACCCATATGATGTGCTTTCCTGTCCTCTACTTAAATAAGCTTCCACCATTATTATCGTTTGAGCTTGTGCGCATGTGATCGTCTACCCTCTAAGAAATTTAGATTTCTTTTGTTTTGTTTTGTTTGTCTTTCTTCAGTCCATTGTAAATTGTAATGCTTATTTCACCTCTATGCCAAGACCATGTGAGTATAAATGAGAGCTCTAAGTTTGGACTGAACCAAAAGAGCAGGCCTGAGACCCATTATTATTGAGCCCTACCGCATCTGTTTAAGTGTTCGGGCCGAACTGAGCCGGAAAATTGTAATATATAGGCTATTTTATAAAGTCATTTATGGTAATTAGCATATTTACTAACAATGAAAATAAGTAACATGATTTAAAATTTAAATACATGATATTTAATTTTACCCTTATATAACTTTATGTGGCAAATGCTACAATTACCAAGGAAATCCTTCATTTACTAAACATTAACTTTTTAAAAATTATACTTTCATCCCTTAATTTTTTAAAAAAAAATTATATTTGGACCTTTTAAGTTTTTAAAATTATATTTTGATCCTTTAAGTTTTTTAAAATTATTTTTGAACCCTCAATTTTAAAAAAAATTACATATACATCCCTGGTAAATGCATCATTTACCAGCAAGGATTTTCAATTTTACGCTTATTTTTATATGGTAAATGTTCTATTTATCTGGTAAATCTTTTATCTACCGGACAAACCCAATTTCTGTATTTTAGTAAATAATATATTTACTACTTAAATCATCAATTTATCATAAATTCACTTACTATTTACAACATTACATCATGTAAACTGACAATTTACCATGTAAATTTTCAATTTACCAAGAAAGTAACTTGTTCATGGTATCAAAATCTTTGTTTTGACTAATAAATTTTTCACTTACCAAGTAAATCCTTCATTTACTAAATTGAATAGATTTTATATGTTGGTAAATGAATCATTCACCCCAACATTTTACGGTTACACAAAACAGAAGAACACAAACGCAGTTCTCAAAAAAAGTAAATCATGGACGTCATTCTCTCTCTCTCTTTGGCCTTTCCCTTCTCTATCTACTTTCTCTCTCATCCGTCGCCACTGCGCCTTCTCCCGCAACCAACGGTTTGACATATCTGATGCACTCAACTACGTGTCGAGAATCGCATGGAACCAAACGACTTGCTGTAACTACCAACGGTGGAGATCTACAGCCGCGACAGAGGCAGACTCGACGCCGCCAATGTGGTCTTCCGATGCAACGTCTTGGCTGTGGCTGGGCTACAGAGGATGATATCTTAGATCGCAAAACTGATCTCCATGCGAGGAGAGAAAGGCCGAGAGAGGGAGGAGAGAGAAAGTGAGGGTGAGCGAGAGTGTGGAGAGAGAAAGAGAGAGGGCGGGTGAGAGAGATAAAGTAGAGAGAGCAGCGACACGGGGGGAGAGAGAGTAGCGAGGGGAGAGCGAGCATTGAGGAGAGAGAGAGAGCAGCAAAGGAGGAGAGAGAAAGAGAGTAGCCGTGAGGCTAGAGCGGAGAGAGAGCATTGGTGAGGGGAAGAGAGAGAGAGAGAGAGAGAGAGAGAGATATTAGGGAGAGGGTGAATATGAGAAAATTAGGGTTTCTAACATTATAAGTGAGGGTATTTTTAGTATTTTAACAATATGGTAAATTACATTTATCAGAATTATGCTATTTATTAATTTTTTAAAACCTTATGCTATTATTTTTTTTTTCTTACATTTCTGAATATGCTATTTCCCTACTTGTTCTGCTGAGCCTATACTTTAGGGCCAAAAGTATTTTTGGGATGTACCTAGCTTACTCTAGACCCGTGGGGCTTTAGAGACGAATTGGGCTGACCCTCATTTCATTGAGATAAGGTTTGCTAAAAGTATACTAGTTTCAGCATTTTTATTATTGGCAAACCTTTTCTTTAGATCCTCAAGGAAACCCATAGCCATAGTAACCTTATCGGACATAGTGCTCCGAAAAGCTTTTGGAATAGCACGCTTCATAACTATCAGACTTATACAGTTCGGTCGTTCCCACTTTTCCATCTCTCTCTTATCATCAGAGGTACTCTTATCAGTGAGTGCAGCATGTTGATCGACTCGTAAAATAAGGTCTAGGTCCATGACTCTGAGAACAATCAAGACGTTCTCTTGCTATGCCTTGAAATTGGTGCCATTAAGCATAGGAGTAAAATTTATGCTAGTAGAGATATTTGTAGCAGAACTAGAAACTAAACAGAGAACAAAACAAAACAAAACTCATATAAATACAATATTATGCAAATAATAAATTCAAATAATGGTAGGGCCCATCATAAGATATCGAGCACAACATCAATATTTAGTCTTTAACAAAAATATTAACTTGTAAGTGGTACTCTTGGTGTAGTAATCAAACACTGATAATAAGAACATGTCGACTAATAAATCTTCCTTTAGGCCGATTTATTGTTCATATGTAAAATCGAATAATCATCACATGCTTATCACCACAGGTGCGTGTGTAATTCGCCCAAATATTGGCATTCCTTTGGGCCGGCTAATATCCGCATGAATTACACACACACAGCCGTTTAATATTCTAAATTAAATTAATTTTCACAAGAGAGGTTGCTTTGGCAACATGTTGCTTCCATTAATTCAATTTAAAATATTATACACTTTAAAATTTGTACCAAAATTTGAATATAAATTGCACCGAAATTGACCAAAAAATAATTAAAAAATTCGGTCCTCAGACGTCAGAATCTCTTCTTACGAAGCAAGGACATGTTGATCTGTCTTTATCTACCAGATAGCCTCATCTTTCCCCCCTCCCTGGATCCATCATCTTCGAGGAGGAGAAAAGAGAAGTCAAATATTTTATGGAAGACTAGGGATTGCTAATCCGCCTACGCGGGAAGCCTTCTACCTCTCAGGCTAAACAGGAAAGACAGCCTTTGCCTTCTAATACATGTCACATTGGATTTGCTAGTATTCCTACAGGGCTTAGTATTCCGAAGAGTGGTCAAAAATAAAAGTCAAAGGTCAAAACAAGAGAGGTTGCTTATGTTGCTCAATTAATTTAATTTACAATATTATACACCTTAAAAATTGTACAAAATTTGAATATAAATAGCACGAAATTGACCAAAAAAAAATTAAAAAATTCTGTCAAAGTCAGCACATGGTCAACAACAAAAGTCAAAGGTCAAATTTTTTTCTTCTTTGGTGGCCTTTGCCGCCGCTCTCCTTAAACCAAAAATAATAATAAAAAAAAATGAATACATTCATTAAAAATTCATCTAAAATTTATTCTCAACGATTCAACATGAATAGTCTATGATACCACTTGTTAGATAAATTATTTTATGGTGAAAATCATCACTAAATACTAGATCATTCATGTTGTATCACTAAGAATTTATGATCTAAAGTGCAAGCATTCCTGAATCAAACGTAATCTTTTGGAGTTTCTTTTGGATTCTCTATATTCTCTCAGGATGTTAGAAATAGAATGAAACGTATATGTGATTTGGGGACCATAACCGTATATAAGTTAACTGTATATTAACTTTTATTATTTCTAATTTGGTCCATCATAAAATTTAAAATAATGATTTGGTCTCAACACATAAAAGACTCACACTTAATTAGATGCATTAAAGTTTAAAATACTTAAAATGTTATCAAATCACTTTAAATAGACTCAACCTAATATGATAGCCTTTAATACACAACAATAAACATATAAGGTCAATTAAAAACCCAACAAGATATAGATGTTAAGAATTTGACCATGGCATAGCATCGTTCAATCGCAAATAATTCGCCGGCGGCTCGTGAAAACCGACAATAATGCGCTTGTGCCTGCGCATGAGCGGATGAACATCGTCCTCATCGTCGCACGTTACGCAGACAGCTGTGACGGCATCATCTTCATTGAACAAGGCTGCGGCTGCATTGTCTCGCTCACAGTCGACGCACGTCCACCCGCGTTGCCGGAGCCGGCTCTTAAGGGAAGCGGCATTTCTTGCGTTGTAAAGTTCGGCAATGCAGCTCGCGCAGAGGAATGCGAAGTCTGCTCGGCAGAATAAGACCGCCTCCTCCGATCGACACAACTCGCATGGCTTGGACTTTCCCTTGCTGAACTCTTGACGGCCTTTAGTTCCCATTCCTCTTATTAATTTTTGTTGCTTCCTTTTTTCTTACTTCTGAATGAAATAAGCGTGGCCATATGGCATTAATATATATAAGTTCTAAGTGGAAAACTTGTTCAATAACTTTTGAGAAAGAGAGAAACGATGGAAAAAAAGGGAAGAAATTAGAAAGAAAGAAACATAGCACGTTTGATAATTTGCTATGATCGGTTGTAAATATTGCGAGGAAAAAAATATAATTTTGAGGATAAAGAACGGAACAGATAATAAGGCATTCCACATTATAAAGGGGGTTTCACTATTTTCTAGGTCATGATTCATAAGACAGTTAATAAGGATTAAAGGGTAAACTACAAGCAATAAAACATAAGATTATCTCATAGTTATATATTCAGAAAAAAAAAAAAACCGTTATCGCTACCCTTAGTTTCTACTCTGAACGCTAGAAAGTACACTTCACACACTTCAATCTAGATGTTTTTTTTTTAAAAAAAAAAAAAAATGAATTTATGAATGTCCCTAAATTCTTCTCTATCTCCAGAATTAGTACCAGTTTATCCCATGAATAGTTCCTAAATTGAAAAAGTGTCTTACAAATGGTCGTTATATTAAGTTTTGAATGAACATTGTTAAATTGGACTCACAAATGTCACTTAACTTTTCTTTTTCTTAATAGAAAATGTTCTCTATGATGAAAGTTATTTTAAACTTTGCCTATATATGCTAAAATCGTGCCAAATTAGTTTCTCTGTCTAATAAATAAATGGAAAATTAATGTGAAATAGTATCAAAATTGTCCTTAGCCTAAAACAATTCATGGGTTATATACATATAATTACACCCCTCATAAATACAATATTGCATTTTTTAGGCTCTCTTTTTTTTTTTTTGGCTTTTATTTTTTGTTTAAAAAAATCTACTGAAAAATAAGTCTTTTTTTTTTTTGAACTGAAGAAGTCTTTGTTTCGTTTTTGTTGAATTCGCTGTACAAAATTCTGGCCTCAAAGGGGCTCAAGTGTCAAGTAGCTTTTGAGTTTGATCTCTTTGGGACTGCATCACCCATGATGTACTCTCGAGTGTGAGTGCCTGAGGGCCCTCTTATGGTTAAGACTAATTGGGTGCTAGTTTGATTAATATCTTTTGTGAACATGCATGTGTAACACCAAGATCGTAGTTGTACATGTTGGGATTTGATTTCCGGATTTGTGTGTTTGATTGGATTCTTCATTAATGTTGGCATTATTTTGAGTATGTCTTGGTAATTAATAATATGTCTCGGTAATTGTTCATCATTTAAACGTGACTCCACAAATGTAGGTAATTACCGAACTGCGATACCAACTTCCTATATCTTTTTACTATTTCAAGTTTTTCGTTTATTTATTGCAACAAATTTTATAACGAACCTAGTAAAGAGACTCAAACTGGTACTAACAGTACAAACCATTTTTACACATTTTTATAACCTTGATGTTAAGTTAAACAAATATCATATTATACTTTATCAATACTATATATATTTGATGGACGTGACATTTATTCACATAACAATACATTCGCAAGATGTAAAAAACAAACAAAAGTACATATGTTCCTCGGAAATTTCGAGCGCAGTGGAAAAATGCTCTGTTTATATATCTGAATTCTGTGTGCTTTTGTGTTTCTCATGTTTTCGAGAAGGAAACACTATTGCAGATAGGCTTGCAGAATGTTGTGCTACTCATCAACAATCTTGGCCGTTCAACGCGCGTTCCATAATTCTGTGCGTCAAAATCTCTGATTGACATGAATGCTCTGCCGAAATAGATTTATTAATAGTATGGTCAATTTTTGTTCTATTAATTACAAACATAAACACTCTTTTTTCTAAGTTTTTCTCTTATTTAGGTTTTACTGGTATGGACTTCGATAGGTCAACATACCGGTAGGTCATATTTTCTGTCTGTTAAATATACATAAAATCACATAAAAATTAAAAAATATGTAAATTTAACGATTAAAAAAACATGACCTACTGGTACATTTAAAAATTTCCTTTAGTAGTAAGATTTTTAATGAGGTCTATGTTATAGAGCTGATTATCAAAGGAAAAGTTACGGCTTGATCTTCAGTCCTCAGTCTCTTGTTTGTATATAGGCAACATTTTTCTACCTTTGTTTCTAGCATCTAACTTGTTTTTTTTCTACTCATGACAATTTTGTATTTTTCTTTTTATTAATAAATTATAATGGAGTTTGAATGAGGGATAAGAATTTTAGGAGTGTCAATCTAGCTGAGATGTGTAGGATTTTTTTTTTATGTTTTAACCACAACTCATTAAAAAAAAAAAAAGAAACGAAAAGATGTAAACAAAGACAACAAAAAAATTAATTTACCTCCCTCAAAACAAAAAAAAAATCTATCTACTACGTGTTAGTATTACACATTCCCGTTCATTTCGCTGATTCGAGTTTGTAATTCGAGTTGAGATGTGATTTTGTGTGAGAGCTTTTTACTGTAGTAAAAAAATTAAATGTGACTGTTTCTAAGAGCTTTTTATTGTAGCAAAACTCAAATTCTAAACTCTAAAGTTGTTATTATTGCATTGAAGAATTATAGCATAGAGGATATTTATATCATCTCAAAACTGTCATATTGGCTATAATGAATTTGGAGGTATATAATAAACCAGACAACAACAAAAAAAAAGGAAAAAAAAAAAAGAAAATTGGCGGGACAGATCTGTATTATTAGTGGAACATAATACGCGTCTTTTATTACTTGAAAGGGAATATTGAATAGATGTTGAGAAAAAGATTCCACCTAAGACACTTACATGTGACCAAGTGTCCAATGAATAGATGTTGAAAGGGAATATTGAAAGGAAATATTGAATAGACTTGTGAATGCTTTATTCATTTTGTTGATTCGAGTTTAGAATTTGAATTTTATTATAATAAAAAGTTCTCAAAAATAATCACATTTAATTTTTTTATTACAGTAAAA